GAGACATCCCCCAACTCTGCAAAACCAGCGTTTCGCTCGAGACATCCTCAACAAATTATGAAAAACAAGCGTTTCGCTCGAGACATCCTGTCAAAATCCCAAGAAATCTAAATTCCTGCGCGCGGGACGCGGCACGCGCGAGACATCCTCAGAATTCCTGCGCGAGGCCCGCTTTTCAGTGTCGCGGTCGGCTCTGCAAAACCAGCGTTTCGCTCGAGACATCCTCAACAAATTCTGAAACCAAGCGTTTCGCTCGAGACATCCCCAACTCTGCAAAACCAGCGTTTCGCTCGAGACATCCTCAACAAAGTCTGAAAAACAAGCGTTTCGCTAGGGACATCCTCAAAAATAATTCCGCCGGCCCTACTCCCGCACGTAATTTATCGCAGAATAATTTCGCCGGCCCTACAGCCGTCGAAAACGGCGGGTAAACCCACTAAAAGAAAACCCTGGGCTCGAGCCCTTTCCGGGAAAAACAAACATTTTGCTCGAGACATCCTGCCAAAATTCAAAGGAATCATAAATTACACTGTGTCCGCGCTCCCAGGGCTACGATCCCTCGTAAATTACACTACACCCGCGCTCCCAGGGCCACGATCCCTCGTAAATTACGCTACGTCAGCGCTCCCAGGGCCACGATCCCTCGTAAGGGATCCTGGGCCCTCCTGGGTCTTCCTTGGACCTCTTGGGCCCTCCTGGGCTCTCCTGGAGCCTCCTGGAGCTTCTCCTGGGCCCTCCTTAGGCCCCCTGGTGCCTCTTGGAGCCTCCTGGGTCCTCCTGGGCCCTCCTGGGCTCTCCTGGGCCCTCCTGGGCTCTCCTGGGCTCTCCTGGAGCCTCCTGGGCCCTCCTGGGCGAAGTCAAGGTCCGAAAACACATGGGACTTGCCACATTTCTGAAATTCGGTGCCACCCCTTACGCAGATCCGCGGGGTCAGGGTCCAAAAACACATGGAACTTGCCACATTTCGGAAATTCGGTGCCACCCCTCACGCAGATCCGTGGGGTCAGGGTCCAAAAACACATGGGACTTGCCACATTTCTGAAATTCGGTGCCACCCCTTACGCAGATCCGAGGGGTCAGGGACCAAAAACACAGGGGATTTGCCACATTTCTGAAATTCGGTGCCACCCCTCATGCAGATCCGCGGGGTCAGGGTAAAAAAACACATTAGATTTATGCTATTTCCGAACTTATGCAACTTCAAGAATCCAAAACTCCGTTCCCAGCGCCGTTCCGGAGGCCGCGGTACCTCGTTATTCATCGAGCGAACGCGTTTACCTTTTTTTATCGTGTAAAGTCGATGTCGGAAAAAAGTTGACTTCACCTGTGAAATATCGAGGTTTCCTTAAAGGCAGTAAAATTCCAAGAGCACGATCTGCGTGAGGGGTGGCGAAAAAATGGCCTTCGTCCTCACAATTGAAATCCGCCGGCCCCCTTCGACCTCGTAATTTATCGCACAAGAATTCCGCCGGCCCCCTTCAAGTAAAAACCGGGGGGAAGACCATCTAAAAGAGAACCATGGGCCCAGGCCCTTTCCGGGAAACATGATCGACCCACGAACCCGGAAAGGAATACAGAAATGTAACGCATGGCAACGTTTTCAAAGACACCTGATTGGGTGACGGGCAAGTGCAATGCTGATTGTATCGATCTTGATGTACCGTGCCGAGGGCTGTGCTGTGCTACACCGTGCTGAATTGCGATGTGCCATGCCGCGGTTGTGCTCTATAGCGTGGTGGATCGAGTCTTCCTTTGCATCCGAGTCCTGACCGAACTGATCTGGATCTTAAGCTCGAGCTGCCTGAACAAATATTAGCTGCCCCAGAGCTAACTAACTGACAAGGGGGCATGCCAGGAGGACGCGCCGCGAAACGTCCCAAGGGACGCGCCAGGCGGCGTGCCAGGGGACGTGCCATGGGGTCGCACCGCCGGACGTGCCAAGGGGACGCGCTACGGAACGTGCCAATGGATGTGCCACGGAATGTTCCAGGGGACGCGCCACGCGACGTGCCAGGGGGACTCGCCAAGGGACGCCCCACGGAACGTGCCAAGTTGCAATGCTGAGTGTATCGATCTTGATGTACCGTGCCGAAATCTGTGCTGTGCTGCGCCGTGCCGAATTGCGATGTGCCATGCCGCGATTGTGTTCTATAGCCTCGTGGATGGAGTCCTCCTTTGCATCCGAGTCCTGACCGAACTGATCTGGATCTTAAGCTCGAGCTGCCTGGACACATAGTAGCTGCCCCAGACCTAATTGACAAGGGGACATACCAGGAGGACGCGACGCGGAACGTCTCAAGGGACCCGCCAAGCGACGTGCCAAGGGACGTGCCATGGGGACGCACCGCGGGACGTGCCAAGGGGACGCGCTACGGAACGTGCTGGGGACAAGCGTTTCGCTCGAGTACTCCTGCCAGACTCCTCAGAATTCCTGCGCGCGGGACGCGGCACGCGCGAGACATCCTCAAAATTCTTGCGAGCGGGACGTGAAAACAAGCATTTCGCCTGAGACATCCTCTGAATTCAGGACCCCCCACGAGGACCCCCACGAGGCCCCCGCTCGAGACATCCCCCAATTTTGCAAAACCAGCGTTTCGCTCGAAACGTCTTCAACAAATGATGAACGACAAGCATTTCGCTCGAGACATCCTTCCAAAATTCAAAGAAATCCTGGCAAAACGAACGAATTAGTCGAGACATCCTCGAAATTCCTGCGCGCGGGACGCGGCACGCGCGAAACATCATCGGAATTCCTGCGCGCGGGGCGCTTTTCCGCGTCGCGGTCGGCTCTGCAAAACCAGCGTTTCGCCCGAGACATCCTCAACAAATTCTGAAAACAAGCGTTTCGCTCGAGACATCCCTAACTCTGCAAAACCAGCGTTTCGCTCGAGACATCCTTAACAAATTCTGAAAAACAAGCGTTTCGCTAAAAAAGAGAAAAAATAAATAAACCCCTAAAAAAAAAAAAAAAAAAAAAAAAAAAAAAAAAAAAAAAAGAAAAATAAAAAAAAAAACGGGGCGACATCCTCAATTTTTAATTCGCCGGCCCTCTTCCCACTCGTTATTTATCGCAAAAGAAATTCGCCGGCCCTCTTCCCGCCAAACCCGGGGGGAAACCATCTAAAAGAGAACCCTGGGCTCAAGCCCTTTCCGGGGAAAAAACATGAATGGACCCACGACCCGGAAAGGGATTAGACATGTGGGTGGACACGTTTTCACGATGCCCAACTGGCAACACCTCACGAAGGCAACACCTCACGAAACATCCGACGAGACACCTCACGAAACATCCCACGAGACACCTCACGAAACATTCCGCGAGACACCTCACGAAACATTCCAGGAGACACCCCGCGAAACATTCCACGAGACACCCCACGAAACATTCCACGACGACAGGCAACCACTCAACCAAGGCGGTGTGGTCGTGCTGGGGAGTGGTCGTGCTGGGGTGTGGTCGTGCTGGGGGGTGGTCGTGCGGGGGTGTGGTCGTGCTGGGGGGGTGGTCGTGCTGGGGGGTGGTTGTGCTGGGGCGTGGTCGTGCTGGGGCGTGGTCGTGCTGGGGCGTGGTCGTGCTGGGGTGTGGTCGTGCTGTGGTGAGGTCGTGCTGGGGTGTGGTCGTGCTGGGGCGTGGTCCCCCGTGCTGGGGGCCGTGGTCGTGCTTGGGTTGGTCGTGCGTGGTGATGTCGTGCTGGGGTGTGGTCGTGCTGGGGTGTGGTCGTGCTGGGGTGTGGGTCGTGCTGGGGTGTGGTCGTGCTGGGGTGTGGTCGTGCTGGGGCGTGGTCGTGCTGGGGCGTGGTCGTGCTGGGGTGTGGTCGTGCTGGGGTGTGGTCGTGCTGTGGTAAGGTCGTGCTGGGGTGCGGTCGTGCTGGGGTGTGGTCTTGCTGGGGTGGGGTCGTGCTGGGGTGTGATCGTGCTGGGGTGGTGTCGTGCTGCGTTGTGTTCGTGCTGGGGTGTGGTCCTGCTGGGGCGTGGGCGTGCTGGTGGGTCGTGCTGGGGTGGGGTCGTGCTGGCGTGTGGTCGTGCTGGGTGGTCCGCACCATGTGATTTATCGATCGGGTTGTGCTGGGGTGTGGTCGTGCTGGTGCTGGGGTGTGGTCGTGCTGGGGTGTGGTCGTGCTGGGGTGTGGTCGTGCTGGGGAGTGGTCGTGCTGGGGTGTGGTCGTGCTGGGGGGTGGTCGTGCTGGGGAGTGGTCGTGCTGGGGGTGTGGTCGTGCTGGGGGGTGGTCGTGCTGAGGCGTGTTCGTGCTGGGGCGTGGTCGTGCTGGGGCGTGGTCGTGCTGGGGTGTGGTCGTGCTGTGGTGAGGTCGTGTTGGGGTGTGGTCGTGCTGGGGTGTGTCTTGCTGGGGTAGGGTCGTGCTGGGGTCGGGTCGTGCTGGGGTGTGGTCGTGCTGGGGTATGGTCGTGCTGGGGTGGGGTCGTGCTGGGGTGGGGTCGTGCTGGGGTCTGGTCGTGCTGGGGTGTGGTCGTGCTGGGGTATGGTCGTGCTAGGGTGGGGTCGTGCATTTCGCTCGAGACATCCTGCCAAAATTCAAGGAAATCGTACAAAAACAAACGAATTAGTCGAGACATCATCGAAATTCCTTCGCGCGGGGCGCTTTTCCGCGTCGCGGTCGGCTCTGCAAAACAAGCGTTTCGCTCGAGACATCCTCGGCAAACTCTGCGGAGCAAGCGTTTCGCTCGAGACATCCTCAACTCTGAAAACCAGCGCCCGCTCGAGACATCCTCAAGATTTCAAAAACAAGCGTTTCGCTCGAGACATCCTCAAATTTTAATTCGCCGGCCTCCTTCGACCTCGTTATTTATCAGGGAAAAAATTCGCCGGCCTCCCTCAAGTTGGCACCGGGGGACAGGTTTACCTACTAAAAGAGAACCCTGGGCCCACGCCCTTTCCGGGAAAAAGTCTCGGGCGCCGCGGCCTCCTCGGAGGGTTCCGGAACGCTGTGTGAGAGAGTTCTGGGACGCTCTGGAACGGATTTATCCTCACTTCCCGTCCGAGCCTGGCTCGTGCTCCGGGGTGCTATCTGAAGCCCACGCTGGCGGCTGCTGCCAGGGCGGTGGCGGCGCGGCTTGCACCTGCTCGATCTCCAGGCGGGCCGTCAGCCGCGCGCCGCCCTGACCTGACGTCGGCTGGGCCTGCTTGGGGCGGCGGCCTTCCTCACTGCAGGCGGACTCCTTGTGGCCATCGCGAGAGTTCAGCTCGTGGGCGCCATGAGCGAAGGTGCAGCCGTCCTTCCTGCAGCTCCCGACCATGAGGAAAGTCGAGCAGAGGAACATTTTGTGCTGCGTGAGCGTTGGGTGCTGCCCGCTTCCTGAGCACTCGGAGACCTTGTGGCTGAACCCGCTGTCGGGAGTCTGGAGGCAAAAGCCGCTGTCAGAGCTCTGGCAACTGAAGCCACTGTCGGAACACGTGGTGGTCTGGCTTTTCTTCATGCTGGCAACTACATCTGGATCCACAGGGTGCAACTCCGGCTTGAACTTGCGAAACTCATTGACGCTGTGGGCGAAGGAACAGCGGTGGTCCTCGCAGATCTGGCCATTGGCCGACGTGGGACATCGCTTCGTACGTTGCAAATCTGGCTTCGTCTGGATCTCTTGCTCCCCGTGCGCGAAGCCGCACGTCGACCCACGCTTGCAAACGCCGTTCTGGTAGAAGCGGCACAGCTCCGTCTTACGGCACATCATCATAAGGCGTCGGCCCATGGCCACAAATATCTTGGAAAGGGCTCGCTTCAGCTGGGAGGCAGCACTGAAACTAGGCTGCGAGAGCTGTGGGAACTGGAGTCGTGAACCTGAGCTGTAATGGTCGCCAATTTTCACACGCGTACAAAGGAAACGAGGCGAAGGGCGTATGGGCATGACACGGAAAATCCCGAACTCTGAAACTCCGTGTCGAGTATGCTTAGTGTCGCGTTTGCGGGCGGTCGAGGTTTGCGAAGCGAAACTGCGCGTTCGGGCGAAGGTGGTGGACCACCAGCCCCGGTCAAGATCAACTGCAAAACACGTATGTGTTCATACATTGACTTGTATGGACATGTGTACACGCGTATGTATCCCGCTTGGTTATCTCTTCTCCAGGGGACGGGCCAAACGAATTGTCCCGCGTCTGTTCCGTTCGGTTCTCCGTACCGTGCGGTTGATACGTGCCTGGGTCGTGAAATATGAAATAGGGTGTCCCTGGAAGTTAGATAAATATTAAGACTGCAATTCGGTAGTTCGTCCGTTCGTGAAGGAAGCAAGCCTCGCCCCCGCTTTCGGTGACGCTAGCTCGAATTCTGGCCCCCTGGAAGTGATTCTCCGCCCCTGGACGCCTCCATGCGGGATCCCACCAAGATCCCAACACGATTATCAGAGTGAGGGGGCTAAACCGAACGGTCATTCACTGTCCCTGGGTGCGTGGCTGAAGTGGAATTCCGCGATGCGGATTCTTGTTGTTGTTGTTGTTGTGGTGGTGGTGGCTGTGGTTGTTGTTGTTATTGTTTGTTGTTTGATGTTTGTTGTTTGTTGTTTGTTGTTTGTTGTTTGTTGTTGTCGTCGTCCCACCCGCGACCCACCCCGCGACCCACCCGCGACCCACCCCGCGACCCACCCGCGACCCACCCCGCGACCCACCCGCGACCCACCCGCGACCCACCCGCGACCCACCCGCGACCCACCCCGCGACCCACCCGCGACCCACCCGCGACCCACCCGCGACCCACCCCGCGACCCGCCCGCGACCCACCCCGAGACCCCCCGGCGGCCCACCCGCGACCCACCCGCGACCCACACGCGACCCACCCCGCGACCCACCCCGCGACCCACCCGCGACCCACCCGCGACCCACCCGCGATCCACCGCGACCCACCCGCGACCCACCCCGCGACCCACCCAGAATTTTTGGCGCCTGCAGCGAGTTTCTTTTGCATCCGTTCCAATGGAGAACCTGCGACCCACCCGCCACCCAAACCGCGCCCGCGACCCACCGCGACCCACCGCGACGCACCCGCGACCCACCCGCGACCCACCCCGCGACCCACCCAAAATTTTTGGCGCCTGCGGCGGGCTTCTTTTGCATTCGTTCTAGGTGGAGAATTCGCGACCCACCCGCGACCCAAACCGCGTTCAGTGTACAAATCAAAATGTTCGGCGCCTTGAGCGGCCTGTTTTTGAATTCCTTCCAGGTGGAGGTGGAGAGCCCGCGACGCACCCGCGACCCAAACTACGTTCACTGAACAAGCCAAAACTTCGGCGCCTGCGGCGGGTTTCGTTTGAATTCGATCCAGGTGGAGAACCTGCGACCCAAACCGCGTTCAGTGTACAAATCAAAATGTTCGGCGCCTGCGGCGGGCTGTTTTTTAATTCCTTCCAGGTGGAGGTGAAGAGCCCGCGACCCACCCGCGACCCAAACTGCGTTCACTGAACAAGCCAAAGCGGACGAGGAAGAGGAGCAGGAGGAGGAGGAAGGCGCCATCGACAAGGAAGGTGAGGGCCACGAGGTCCGCCGGCTCGACGCCCGCGTCGCCCGCGCCCGCCTCCTCACTCTTATCCGCAATTGCGGGGTGCCACGGTAAGTAGGCCCCAACCAGATCCCACTGAGAGCCCAAGAAGATTACAGGATGGACACAATAAGATCACAATCGGAACCAAATCGGGTTCCAAAAGGGTTCAATGAGAATTCCCAGTGGGCTTCCTAAGGGTCCCAGAAAGATTCCAACACGCTTCCCATGTTCCAATCGGGTTCCAACCTGGAGCCCGATACAAAACCACTCGGATTCCAACAAGGACCCAATTGGATTCCAATAGGGCTCCTGTCGGATTCCAATGGGAACCCAATTCGGTACCAATGCAATTACGATCGTATTCCAATCGGATTCTACGTAGACCCAACCAGAGGATCCCAATCGAATCCCAAGAGGATCCCAACACGCTCCCAATCGCATTCAAATCGGATTTCCAACGGGATTCTAATAAGACCCCAATCGCATGCCATTACGACTCCTAAGGGATCCAGAAGAATTCCGACCAGATCCCAATGATCTCAATCAGATCCCACTCGGACTTCAATCCCACCAGCAAGTTTGGCTAAGGTGGTCCAAGGATATACCTGCTGCATCTGCCAACACCCTCTTCCGCTCGGGGAGGGGTGCCCCCCACTCCCCTCCCTGAAGTTCTTTTCACGGGGGGTCGCTGAGTGGCAGGGCGCCCAAAGATGGCCCAAAATGGCACCAAGAAGGCCTCCGATGCTCCAAGATGGATGGCCTCCAAGGCGGCTCAATATAGTCGAAGATGGTTCAAGATAATGTCCAACATACCTCCAACAAACCAGACGAGAACCACAAGACGGTTCCAAGCCAAGTGCTCCCAGAGCCCCCTTAGGACCCCCAAGAGGCCAAAACCATTCGAACACCCGAGGATAATCAATTACTGTTGGCGTCTCTCCTTTTCGCTTCCGATGCGCATTCTAGGCTTCAAGATGGCCACAAGCTGGCCCGAGAGAGGCCCAAGAGCGGCCCCAAGAGGCTCCCCAGACGGCCCCAAGAGCGCCTAAGAGCGGCCCAAGAGCGCCCCAAGGGGGCCCCAAGAAGCGATTGTAATGGCCCCAGGGGGGAAGGCACACGTGGGACCCCCTCCCCCCTTTTGACCGATGGCCTCCGAGATGGGCATCTCGTGTAGCAAGAAACGCGGGGGCTGGTGGGGATGCGCGAAACGTGAAACATAGGTTTCCCTGAATCCCAAGTTTCCTTGTTACCCAGCGGGAGATAATGTTCCATGAGATCCGGTGCTGACATGCCACTGTCGCCGCGGGGGGATATTATCTGGCGTGGTCGGCCCCCCAAAGCAGGCACGAAACCAATGGTCTGCCCCTTTCATCTGGAATCTGCATATCCGCAGACTCTTCACCCTGTCTCTCTTTCTCTCTTCCTCGTTCAATTTGATTTTATTCTCTCGTTCAATAATTCTTTATTTCTTTCTCTCTCTCTCTCTTTCTCCTTCGTTGGTGGCCGAGTGCATTCCCGTAGGATCTCACAAAGACCCCAATCTCGAATAGCATTCCAATACGATTTCAAAAGGACTCATGGGCTCCAGTACGCTTCCACGTTCCCCAAGATGGTTCCAATCGAATCCCAGAAAGGCTCCGTAGGATTCGCATACAGTCCCCTCAGGATTCGAATCGGATTCCAGTGGGATGCCTGGGCTGCAATAGGATTCCACAAGGATCTGAATCACATTCGAGCTGAATTCCGATAGGAATCAAATGATATCCCAACCTCGTTCTTTTGTCCCCGTTGTGATCGTCGGCGTCGGCGGGCCACGTAACAGCCCCCCCCTCCCTGCCATTCGCAGGGCGTTGTCGTTGCCGTCGTCGTCGTCATCGTCGTCTTCGTGGTCACCATCGTTGGTCGACATCATCGACTGCAGTGGACTCGCATGATAAGGATGCGCGGTAAGGATGCATGGGCCTTGGAGGGCCATGTGAACGTTCTTCCAACGAGGTTGGCCAGCGAGAGTCGCTATGGGCTGAAGGGGTAAGCAAGCAAGGGCAGCCTTGGGAAATTGTTCATCCTTATTATGTGGGTTGACTGCACGGCGGGTCCACGCAGCACACACTCCCCGCGCCGTCGCCATTGCCGACTACGGCGGGCCCACGCGGCAATCCCCCCCCGTTCCCCCCTCCCCATGGGGCAATTGCAGCACGTCGTCGCTGTCGTCGTCGTCGTCGTCGTCGTTGACGTCGACGTTGGCTACGGCGGGCCCACGCAGCAACCAGCATCCGGTGCGTCGTCGCCGTTGTCGACTGCGGCGGGCCCACGCAACAACCGCCCTCTCCGCCCCTCTCCGCCCTCTCCGCCAGCCCCATGGGGCATCCACGCGTCGTCCTCGTCGTCCTCGTCGTCGTCGTCGTTGTCGACTGCGGCGGGCCCACGCAACAACCGCCCTCTCCGCCCCTCTCCGCCCTCTCCGCCAGCCCCATGGGGCATCCACGCGTCGTCCTCGTCGTCCTCGTCGTCGTCGTCGTTGTCGACTGCGGCGGGCCCACGCAACAACCGCCCTCTCCGCCCCTCTCCGCCCTCTCCGCCAGCCCCATGGGGCATCCACGCGTCGTCCTCGTCGTCCTCGTCGTCGTCGTCGTTGTCGACTGCGGCGGGCCCACGCAACAACCGCCCTCTCCGCCCCTCTCCGCCCTCTCCGCCAGCCCCATGGGGCATCCACGCGTCGTCCTCGTCGTCCTCGTCGTCGTCGTCGTCGTCGTCGTTGTCGTCGTCGTCGTCGTCGTCTTCGTCGCCGTCGTCGTTGCCGTTGTCGTCGGCTACGGCGGGCCCACGCAGCACCCGTGCCCCACAGCCATTCGTCGTCGTCGTCGACTACGGCGGGTCCACGCAGCAACCGCCCTCCTGCACACCCCCATAGGGCGTCCGCACCGCGTCGCCGTCGTCGTCGTCGTCGTCATCTTCGTCGTATTCGTCGTCGTCGTCGTCGTCGCCGTCGTCGTCGTCGTCTTCTGGCTCGATGGTTTCGATGGCTCTCTTTGCCTGATTTTGCTTGGTGCCGGTGATCCTCCTCGAGGAAAACACAATTAGGGATGCTCTTCTGCTCCTCGTATTCCCCCGCGCACCACCTCGGAATTACTACATGGATTCATTTGTCGGGGTGCTACGCGACATCGCTCATCGGTTCCCCCGGGGAAATATCTAATTTGAGTACCGCTGGCAACGCCGGGAGGTTCGATAATTGCTGCCAGAGAAATTGCGGGACTGATCATATCCACCGAAGCTGGTGGCCAATTGGGTTTGTTTTTCTGTCGGCCGTG